ATTTGCTTAAGTTGAAGTTATTTCCCCTTTCTTTGTCAAACTTTGCATCTACATGGTATAGTTTGCTTGCTCCTAGTTCAATTTCTCCATGGTCACAAATGGAGTATGAGTTTCATGATTATTTCAGAGATGCAAGCTTGATGGAGCAAAGACCGAATGATACTTCATCGGTCACTTGTGAAACTATTTCGGTTACACCTATGCCTAAGACCGGAATTGTTAATAATTCTCTCCCTACTAGTCCTATTGATGTTGACAAAAGGAAAGAGAAAAGTGTTGTTATTGGGGATCTTCGGCCCAAGAATAGGATAAATAATGCAAAGGACGAAGATCGTAAGGTTACAAAAGATGAGTCATCTAGTTCCCAAAAGACCAAAAAGCCGAAGCTCACTTTTGAGATGCTTATGGCTAAGTACAAGAAAGGATTAGCCAGTCAACGATTTGATAACCAAACTAGTGATTCAAAAAGACCAAAATCATCTCGTAGGAAGAGATTTGGTCAAACACCAAAGCAATCGGAGCCATCAACTATACCAACTCCATACAAACCTCCGGTTGTGATGCCATGGTATCCACATCCAATGTCACCATTTGGTTATCCTTTTTTGTATTACATGCCATGGATGCCTCAACCACCTATGCCGTGTCATCAAGGATGGAAACAATCACCTAGGACAGTACCAAGTCATTCTAACTCAAGACAAGACCGTTTTCCACAAAAGAATCGGTCCGGTGGATCAAAGGTGAAAAAGGTGAAGAAGGTGTGGGTGAGAAAAGAAGCCAAAGCTTCAGAGGTTGTTGCTATCAAGGAGAAATCTCAAGATGTTCAAGTACCTACTGAAGATGCGGTGAAAACTATCCAAGCGGAGAAGACTGAAGCCAACGCCGTTGCTATCGAGATTGGTGGTCTAACCAAGCCAGTTGGCCGGTCTAACCGCCAGACTACGGCCAGTCTGACCGACTCTCCTAGCCGATCTGACCGACGGCTTGTGGCCGGTCTGACCGGGCCCAGAGGCCGGTCTGACTAGGGGGCATTGGAGAAGAGTGGGAAAATTGAGAGCAACATAGGAGCTTCTACTTCGACCAAAAATATGAAGAACCATTGCTTAGCTCCTGGAAAACAACCACAGCCGAAGTGGATACCTTCTGGCTTATCTCGCTCTCAAAAGAGGAGGCTACAGCGTCTTCGGGCCATAGGTCAAAAAAAAAAGGAGGCCGAAGATGTGGAGAACAAGACATGCAATAATTTAGAGCCTCGAATAGCACCTAGGCAAGTGTGGAGACCTAAAGAAGTAAAAGTTAAAAGACCGGTGATTTCCCATAGTAGTAGCGATAAATCCAATTTGATGAGAGAAGAATCATCGGTCATTAGAGATAAGTCTCCGCCACATGATGCTATGGGTGTTAGTGCGGTATCCATCTTGCCTTCGAAATCGCGCAATCTAGAAAGCCGATTTTGCTCGGAGGGCAAAACATTAATATGCTCATGAGGGAACCAAGAGAAGATGAATGGCGATGGATACAACACCACATCTTTGAGCCGCCGTTTGTTGGATGCTAAGGCAAGGTATGAGTTTATTGTGTTCATCATCATATTATATGCCTATGCCATGTTAGAACATTGCTTACTATCTAGCACATGTGTGTTTTGCTTATCAAATCCATATTATGCATACATGTTGCAAATGCCAGTTCTAGGTAGTAGAATTGGTAGGTTGGCATATAATTTGTTTGAAGTATGATTTGGCTCATGACTCTTGGATATTTATTCAAAGCCAAATCATATGTGTTTTTATGGATGACCATAAAAGATATAGATTTCATATTTATTGCACCATGAAAGTTTTGCTTACGAGTAATTCGGCTAATGTCAATGGTCAATGTGATGATTTATTCTAGAGTTGTTTTCTTTAGAAACATTGGCATTGCTAATATTTTGCATACATACTCAAGCTTACATTTCTAGTTTATTGGAATTCATGTCTGTGAGGCGTATGACTTTGGTGATTCATTATTGATCATACTTCAATTCGATAAGTGTTTTGATACCATGATGATTATTGTTTCAAAAGCCATTTGAATTAGTATTCATCTAGACATGTTAGTTGGATGTTATAGTTTTTCTTATGTCTAGATAGAAGGAATTTTGGTCCAATAATTTGATACACCAAGCATCTGGCTATTATGTGAAGAAAAATTATATACTAAAGGCCGATGCTTGATTTCAAAAGTTTGGACGAAATTGGCAAAGTCATAGACCAGGGGCGGTCTGACCGGTGGTACCGGCGGTCTGACCGGCTTTGCATGGCCGGTCTGACCGGGTAGACAGGGCAGTCTGACCGGCATTGCTTGGCCGGTTTGACCGATCTCGGGCAGAGAGCTGGGGGACACGTTACAATTGATTCAAAGGCCGAATTAATTGTAAATTCGGACATTTGTGCCCATGAGTTAGAAATAGCTTGGGGAATTCCTTTGATTAGATATTTGAAAGATCCTACACTTAAGGTTGATCGGAAGATTTGGCGGCAAGCGTTCAAATATTATGTTGCCGAAAAATAGATGGAGTATTACTTAGATAATGATCAATCCAAAGTTGTTAGGAGAGTAGTACATGAAGGGATTTGTGAAATTCATCAATCGGCCCGTAAGATAAATTGGTTGCTTAGGAGAGTGGGGTTTCATTGGCCGAAAATAATTGATGATTGTTTCAAATGCTATAGAGGGAGTGAAGCTTGTTAACGGATCGGCAATGTTCAATTAGCGCCTACCGCTGTGTTGAATCCTATCATTAAACTATGGTCGTTCCAAGGTTGGGCTTTGGATTTCATTGGTCAAATTTATCCTTCGTCATCAAAAGGGCATTGGTTCGTGCTAGTTGTAATGGATTACTTCACTAAGTAGGCCGAAGCCGTGCCGCTCGAGAATATTACTTGTACGGAGGTAATTGACTTTATTTTGAAGCATATTGTTCATAGGTTCAGTATTCCTCAAATGTTAAAGGAGCTTCTTTTATATCCAAGGAAGTGAGAAGTATTGCCGAATCTTATGATATTAAGTTGTTGAGTTCTTCTCTTTACTACGCTCAGGCTAATGGATAAGCCGAGTCGAGTAATAAAACATTGTTGAAATTGCTGTTTTGCCAGTTGAGGAAAATCTTGGCTCTCTTCAGTATTTCAAGTAAGACGACTTGTCGGTTGAAGATTACAAGAACTTGATGGGAAGCAATTTGAAGATGTCATCGACGAGCGTTCGAAGACTTTGAAGGAGATGAAGACACATCAAGATGGTGTTTTCAGAGATCGATTAATGGGAAATACTTGAAGAAATACTTCCCGAGTATTTGGCAAGATGCTTAGGAAGTCCTATGGCCGGTAATTGGATTATCGCCCTGAGATAACATGTTCTATGCTTTTAGGTTCACGTATGTTCACCAAAAAGGCAGGGGGGGCATGTGTTTACACCCAAATTTGGCACCTATGGACGAAATAGGGGAAAATTGCCAAAGTTTGGAAAGTGACGGGTTTCCTTCATAGGGCTGGTCCGACCATAGGTGTGTGGGCTGTCTGACCGGCTAGTTGGGCCGGTCTGACCGCAGGTATGTGGGCGGTCAGACCGTCAGGATCTGAGTCCGAGTCTGTTTTCGTCGGGTCTCGGGTTTCCTTGCTTGGGAAGGCATGTTTCGTGTTTCCTTTGGTTTCTATCTCGAGTTGGACGTGGAGAAGGGCCTGTAGAGGGCAAGACCAACCCCTATTTAAGGGACAATGCCGGTTCATTGTAAAACCCCCGAATACAATCTACTTGAATCGTTCTTTTACTATGTTTTCTATTTTACCCTAGTTTTAGTCCATCTTTGTCGGTTTGCGCCGTAAACCGTCCGCCGCCGCTGCGAGAGTGCGACACCTCTTTGTAGATTTGTCCTGAAAACCTTCCGTTTTGCCCGCGAGACGGGTAGTTATCCTCGTATCGATCTAAATCGGCCTAGAGGCTGATTTTGATCTCTAAATCGGCTACGCTAGCCGGTTTAGCTTTTCTATTTGCAAAACCCATCTTGATTTGGCCCTTTGGCTAGATCGAGGTGGTTGGCGATTCCATATCACCGCAAGGCGTTTAGGTGTTGCGATCGTGCTTGTCGACTTGTCAAAAAAAGTTGCAAAATGACATTTTTGAAATGTCATTTTCTAAAAACATCAATTTTTGGGTGGTGAGTGCAGATTAATCTTGATATAGAATGTAAAAAAAACTAGATATAGATCAAATTCTGAACATATAAGCTGCTTAGATTAGTTAAAAAAATAAATCTAATCACAGTTTACATAGCAAGTAATAGGCTCGCATGTGAATCAATGTGAATGATGTTAGGGAATCAATTAAAAAGGAATCACTTTATCTCTTTCTCTCTCTCTTTAGAGTACGGTGTGGAGACATAGTGAAAAGACATGGCTATAGTTCCTGTATGGGTGAAAAGATGTAGCAACAGGTTACTACCTCCACCATCTATTCCCTTTATAGATTTGAACTGAGTGGCTGCATTTATAACCAATTTAGGATCACAATGCTTCATTGATTCCTAACCACAATGGCATACGTGTCATGCAACCAAATAGGGAGCATATATATATATATATACATATGTATATATATATATATATATATATATATATATATATATATATATATATAACCATGCAGCAACAGGGCCATGCAAATAAAAAAAAGTAACTCGATTTTTAGACACTAAACGGGAATAAAGATGGCTCAGCCGGCCACATGGCTGACCCATCTTTAGTCCCGGTTATTTCACCCAGGACTAAATATAGCGATCTTTAGTCCCGGATTGGTAAAACCGGGACTACAGAAGGTTATGAACCGGGACTAAAGAAGGTTTCTCCACCAGTGGACTGCGAAGCTCTCATCCTCATGTAGACATACATAGCTATATTTAGCAGTTTAAATTGCCTATATTTGCAACTGGCAACATGTGTAGCCAACCGGCATGCAGTTACTATCCACACAGCAGACAACCCGGGCCACGCCAATACGGGCACATTAACCGGAGAGATGTTGCCGCCAGGAAGCCAAGCAACGAACCTAGGAACAGGCAGGCAGGCAGCGTCGGCGAGGCCGTTGGGCAACGCCTCGCCACCACATGATTTCGCCTGCCTGTTGTTCTTCGGGCCTCCCCTTCTCCTCCACCCTGACTACATCAAATTTCAACCCTGACTCCATCAAATTTCATGGACAAATGAAGCTGGATTACATGCACGCAGGAGGCGCGCGCATCGGCGTAACGTCTCCTTGGCGTTGAGGGCTTGAGCTCGTGGCAAGCGATGACATCGTCGACGCTGTCTTCAGCGCTGAGCTCCATGGAGGTGATGCTGGATGCGCTCATGCAGAGAGGAGTAGGAAAGCCGGAGGAAAAGCCCAAGGAGGAGGCGCCTCCAGCGCTGCCCACACGCCCCACGGTGAGGGGCAGGCCGCCATCTCTGCAGAGGCCTGGTTCCCCTCCCCCTTGGGTTCACCGGTCACCATCGTTACCGCCTATGCTGGTACCACACTTCACCAGATCCGCATTATTTCATGCCATGTTACATTGCATTGGACGATATATAATCAATTGTTAGGAAGTGGACGAGAAACTTGCGGTCAATTCGGTGCTGGAAAGAAGGGCCACGGTGGCGGAAGAGGCGGTAAAGCAGAAGGACGACGTGGTGAGGCAGAAAGATGAGGAGATAGCCGCGCTGAGGCAACAGGTTGAGCACTACGAATCCCGGCTCTCGGAATGCGAGGCGAGGATGAAATCCGTGGAGGAGGAGCTGCGGAAACAGATCACCACGATGCAGGTGAGTGAATGAAATGAAAGCCAGCATTTTTCGGGGTCACTTTGCTTTGCCTTTGATTTTCCAATGCAATGCGAATTCTGATTTCTGAGTGCAAAATCGAGGTTGACGGATTGTCTTCTTTTGCCTGGGTATTGCAGATCGCTCAGAACAACGCTGGAAGAACCGGTGAATCGACGACAAGGACGCACCACAGGCAGGAACTATCAGGCACTAGTGGTGCTCCTGCTCAGTCGTCAGGGTGGCGAGAGGAGGAAGCATCGGTGACGCGGCAACAGGCTCGTGGCCGCGAATCGAACGTTGCTGCAGTCGTCGACGAAAGGAAAACCGATGCCGTGAGCCGCTTGGCCACGGAGCTCCGGCAGGAGAGCGAGGCGTTCGAGCACCGCGCGCGTGCGGTGACCGAAGCGGGACCGCCGACTGCCAAGTCGGTCGACGAGCTCAAGAAGCTGAAGCGGCAGTTCGGGACGTGGAAGAAGGAATACGGGGCCCGTCTGCGTAAGACCAAGGCCGAGCTGAAGAAGCTCGTCCGCTCGGAGAGGGGTGGCCACGGGAACCGCCGCAGGTGCTGCTCGTGGAAGATCAAGCTGCCGAAGTGCAGGTTTCCCAAGTGCTGCGCGTTCAAGCTTCCAAGCCCTTCCTCTTGCTGTTCCTGCAGTTGCTTCCGCCGCTGCTGCTAGCCACGCAAGATTGCAGACGCTTGGTTTGCTTCTTCTACTTGTACATCGTTGTAAAATTGTTGGGGGTGATCGAATTGACAAAAGGAACAAAACGAAATATGACCATAGCTAGATACGAAACACTTGGAGGGTATTCATGCATGCGCATTGTGCAGGCCCAGAGAAGTTTGAGGCTCGGTCGCTTCCAGGAGACAAAGTCCAGAAGGAGGTGGCAGCCTGGATAACAGCCCAAACTCGTGGACAGGGCCCAAGTTTGCAACAGAAGGCAAAATATGTCCATGATGAATTGCGCGTTTAAAATAATTAGAATACTGTTGAACAACTAGTGGCCTATTCGCTGATCCGGAGTAGAATACGACGATCTCATACACACAATCATATAGTAGATGAATACGGATATAGGGAGGGGCATCACGGCTTTATTGCTTTAACCATATGCGGATACATCAACCCACCTCTTAAGCCCTCTCTCTCAGTATATATATTCATAATAGGAAGAGTACTATTAGGATACGTTTCCATATATTTGGTATGAGCCTATATTTATCTCTGGCAGGAGATAATAGTTTCATAACACTCCCCCTTGGACGAATACCGCGCTATACACATGTCTCGTTAAAAACTCCATCCAAAAACCCAGTGGGAGAAAAGGATAGGAGAAAAGAGTACACCGTACACGCTAGTTATATTGCACTTGTTGCCTCGTTAAAAACCTTGCGTGAGAAATATTCAAGTAAAAACTCACTAAGGGAAAAGGAGTACAACACACGATCTTCTTGATCACATAATTTTTAAGATCGACTATTCTTCATAAATAGCTAATGATCTATATGCTTTATTATATTAATCAGCTTGGATTAACACAACAATATAGCGGATAGCGGTAGTAACCTTCAAGGTAAATTATCAAAACAATGATTAATTTGATTAATTCTTAGTAAATCAAATATAGGACTTCCAAGTCTTAAGTATGATAATCAATGTTCAGCATATATGCTCCCCCTCAATAAGACATCCGTTGAAACTTCCATGTTCCAATGTCATAACCACATTTTTATTAATGTGTAAAACAATGATAATGAAATTACCACAATGTTTAATCTTTCATTTACTTATTTCATAAGTTCTACTATGAACATGAGAAATAAATCAACGTATAGGAGCAATATTTATAACCACTTATTCCAATGTGCAATACAAACAAAGTTTTATCCTTACGGAGGACTATGGGAAAATAAGTTGCAACGATACACATATGCGGTATGTATAAAATAATTAGCTTAATACAAGAGGTTAAATATTATGCAACTTTCTCTTAGTGGATTTATCAATCATTACCAATTTGATCCTTTCACTAATCTTCAACAATTAGCTTAAACCACTTAGAGTGACATAAACTGGTCTATATTTTGGCATTAGGGGAATTAATAAGATTGCCAAATACCATCAATAAGTATATCTTCATGATATAAAAATTCTTACACCTTCATAGTATGTAGAAAACTACCGATCCACTTGCATGCTAGTGGATGTGATTTTCCAATTCATTCGTTTGAACGGGTCTGTCCACTTCATGGGAATATGAGTTATTGGTGTTATATGGAGATTAACCAGTAATTCATACATTAGCGTAGTCCTACAGGGATCAACTTATTCTTCCGGAAGTCATTTTCTCTACTATGAGAAATATTATCACTTCTAAGAGAAAAACTCTTCGTGAGTCATCATAAACTCTTCTACGAGTCTTGCAATTCTCTTCATGAGAATATAGTGTGCTTCATGACACTAATTAGTATGAGATTTACATATATGTTGCGAAATTGTTTTCTTTCTAGTGAAAACTTCACATGGATTTTCAAAACCCATAAACAACATATCATTTATTCATTCATGCCTTTTGCCAGTGATATATATATCGGAATTTAATACATTCATAGTAGGAGAATATCAGTCTTTTCCATGACCAAATGAACCGTCGCTTTTCACCACTTCAGTTCCTATTAAGTCTGAACTTCCATGTTCACATAGACTTATTTAGCGACTATGGTTCAATCTTATTGCTTTCTTCAATAGACCCGATATGAGTTCTACTATGTAACTCTGCCATGGACTTTGGTTCCGGATCCGGATTCTCATTAGAGAAATATTAGCAATCATAGAGGCGATGTTGTTGACAACTATTCTTTTCGCCACAAACTCATTCCGTGAGGTCAATTCATTATAAACCATATCTTAGTCATTTCCCAAACATAAGATGCATGGTTGTTCCGCATCCTAGAATTAGATAGATGTGCGCACTTTAATTCTGGGTTTTCATCTTCATGATGAACCTCTTCATGAGTCAATTCACCTTCATGATGATTACTCTACAAGAGTTGTAAGGAGTTATTAATGGGTACATTGACAATAGTCGTTAGATCTTAGAATCCGCAAGCGTCCCCGTAGATTTTAGAACATTGACTAACATGTCACTCTGCATTTGTGGATATACTATTCAAAACCCGGAGTATACCACTGTTAGCACAAAGTTTACTACAAGTAAACATAACTTCTGATTACTCCTTTAATTCATAATTATCTGGCAAGCTCCCGCTTCTGGCTTACAGGAGAATAAACTAAACCTTCTAGTTTAGTTTGACTTGTGCGTTATTCTTACTTATAAAGATCTTTTTATTCTTGAAAATATAAGGCATCTTTAACACATGGGCTGTTCTCCCCCTGATGCCGATATTCGATCTTTATCTAATAGCATATCACAAAAATCCCCTATCATAAGCACTGGATTAATGGAATTCAGTCCATTTGTATCCCCAACTTCATGTGGAGGCCCATATATGTATGCTGTGATGGTGATATATGAGGGAAATGTTCATTCATTGAACACGCACTTATACAAAATAAAGGGGGTAAAGATATTAGATGCAGTGAGCTAACATAAAAATTAATGCAATGGCATGAAAAATTGCACATCCCTAATACTGTAGGTTATCCCAATTCATATAGGGTTATTATTCTGCGACAATGAAGCCCAAACAAATCTCCATTAGTCGACAAAATTACTCTATTTTCTAGCCTTTTTTTATTTGCCTAAGACTTGATCCAATTACTCATACTATATTCAATTCTTGAATTATGTTGGATCAATAAACTTCATGTTTATATTTATGCAACATAGATATGATCATAAGATGGATGTGTTAGTATTATATAACTTCATGATGTCTTCAAGAACATAACTATAACACTAAAACATTAATCTATGAACATAGTTTAACCATCATGGAACCTTTCAAATCACCCAAACATTATTCTACGAGAATATTTATTCTTCTTGAATATGCCAATAAATTAATTGGGTGACATGTCTAACTTTTATTCATTACGCCAAAGTAAATGTGGTGTCATTTGATCATTCAGAATCATTCGAATCCAAAAGGTCATTAATTATTTAGGATATTGTTTACTACAAGTAAACCAATAGCTTTCAAATAGCTATACGCAATTTCATACTTCCTTGATGAATATGCAACTTTCAATGGCCAATAAATAACACACTTCGTTATGTGACAATAATTCATAATTATCCCAAATAAGATTCGCTAATAGTTTGGGCTACTTTTTCTTTTAGCATTTGACCTATAACACACCAATTTGCCTGCCACATATCCACAATTTCTTATACTTCTTTATTGCAAATATTCTGAAATTAATTTGCAAAATACACATATTCCTCCCCCTTTTCACGCCAATCATAAGAAAACTTACAAAATAGTTGTCGTGAAACCCACATATTTGTTGTAACTCCATGGTATAACTTTTCTAAAAAGAAATAATGTGGTTGCAGGTGGATATATTTAAGCTTCAATGCTTAAACATAAATATTCTAATTGTTCATGTGCATAAGTAAACAACTTTACATGTATGCCTTTGTCAATGCACTTAGAACTATCAACCTACATGGTTGATTGAGGCTTAGTGGATAATAAGAATACATTCGCAAAAAATACTTCAAATAATAGGCAAGACAAATATTTACATTCAATGTTAGACATACAATTCATAATTTTATTCCACAAAAGGTTAAAGAATTACTGCATGTAAAAAAAAGGCAATATAGGTAAGGTGAGATGACCTACATAAAAATATATATACAATAATCTAATGCAAAAGCTTCTATGCCTAAAGCAAAAGATAAAGATGCTCTACATGAGCTTAACCATGTTCTTTATATCAAACTTAATCTAAACTATAATGTAACTCATGTATTGTAAAATATTATCTCAAAAGAACGAATACAAGATTACTGTCATTACTATTCGTCTCCCCCTGAGTTGAACATCAAATTCAAATACACCAAATTCCTTTCCTTCCACAAATTGAGTATGCATGTTCTTCATGAACATATTAATAGTATAAGTCATATATGTGCGTGCAAATGCATATGTTGACAGTAATACAACTTCTTGTGTATCAATTCTAACAACTAAACATGTTGCATCTAGGCCAAAATTGCTTCAAATGCAAATGACCAATTTACTCAAAATAATTTACATACATTCATAAAAACAATACTTCATTTGTAAAGTCATTTATACGTGGAAGATGGACATAATATTATCAATCAAATTAACTATAGACACTGCATAGGTACATAGTCTTTTGATAGATAATTTTGGTGCAATTGGCATATAGACTTCTCGTCAAGATATTCACAAATTCGATGACATTGTATCTACTTGGCCACAATTAATATAAATTAGTTGTAGCTTATCTTCTATGATAGTCATGCACTAATAAATATCTCTAAGACAATAATATACTCTCTTCATGATGAGTGTATACATTTATTCTATACTGAGAATATATAATTGTGCCTTCTACAAATGTGGTGACAATTAGACAAAGAGAAGATATATGAATAATTCTATTACTCATTTGCCTAATAAATATATTTGCTACATGCAACTACTTACATGATGTCCTTTTATGCAACTTTCTACCGGTTTACTTCCAGTAAATAAAGTGCACAAAACGAGTACAAAATAGTAAAGAATGGTTTTCTATACACATCTTTTATTACAATCCTAGCAATTAACATGATTTTCTGCTATTCAAAGGTACGTGTAATTTACATAACTACT